CCCTTATCTCAAGTCACTTAGAGCTGTTAATTAGAGCTGAATGGAAAGAGAAATATAAAGCAATGTACAGAGACAATGGATGGAAATATGCAAGTATTTTCAGAGAGGCATGTAGAGAGATACACACGTGCAGACAGACATAAGTAGATACATAGAGACAGGGACTGTCAGATTCCTCAGAGTTCTGACAAATGATGAGAGGCTATAGGTGCAGTTCAGTGGTAGAGACTTTGCTTCTCACATGCACGAGGGCCTGAGTTAGTATTTAGGCACTGCAAAAAAATCAGTAGATGTTTCTAGGAGAAAGACAAATCAGTGAAGTCTGTAAAGTGTAAAAGAGGGGGCTGGATGAGCCTGGCTTGGTGGCACACACCTTTAATCCCAGCACTCAGGATGCAGAGGCAAGTGGATCTCTGTAAGCTCAAGGCCAGCCTGGTCTACATAGTGAGTTCCAGGCCAGCTGAGACTACAGGGAGACCCTGTCTCAAAGAAAAGGGGTGGGGGAGAGCTAGAGAGGTGGCTCAGTGGTTAAGAGTACAGGATGCTCTTGCAGAGGACCTGAGTTTGGTTTCCGGTGTCTGAATAATAACCATCCGTAACTCCAGTTCCAGGGGACCTGACATCCTCTTCTGGCATTGCACACATAGGTGCACTGTGCAGATAAAACACTCATATACATAAAATAAAAGTTAAAATTTTTAAATGTAAAAGGTTTTGCTTAATAGGGTCAGTAACTGTATATGGTGGAAGACAATAAAAGGGATGTTCCGGGCTGAGAATATAGAACAGTGGTAGGGTGATTGCCTAGCATGGATAAAATCTGCGTCCAATCACCAATACAGAAAAAAATTTATCTAAAGACCCCAAAGGCATGGAAATTAACAAGAGCATGTTCTAGGGACAGTGAATATGCTTGTTTATTTAGAAAAGAGGACACTGTGGGAAGTGTATTGAACAAATAAGTGACAAGTGAACAAATTATACAGGACATGACATAAATAAATAATAAAAAAATAAAGTTAAATAAACAGAGCTTTGAATAGCACAGGTGCATGAAAATCTGTCATCAAAGGAAGGCTATAAAAGAATTACTTCAAATTTTCACAGTAGAGTTCTTAAAAATCCAACATGGTTTCCATATCTATATATATAAATATTTTGGTTTCTCAAATGGGAAATAGAGGCCCCCAAAAAATCTTCCTGTGACATAATAAATTTCTTCAGTATTTTTTCCTCCAAAAGCAAAACAGACGGGAAAGTAGTCTGAGGCAGGGAGTGTCTTAATTAGCTGCCTAAGGGACCAAAGGTTCTGGGATGACTCATGTGAGTGACTTAAAATCAAGCCACCCAGAGGATGTCCTGAATTACCCAAGTGGCCATCTGGAAATGTAACTGCTGAACGTTTGAAACAGCAGTTGCCAGACCCCTGGCTTCAGAGCTACTTCCTAGAAGATTATTAACTGTTTGTTGTTTGGTGCGGCCTGACCATTCTTTAGAGAAGAGGTTCATGAGCACCTCACCTAGCCCCACTCCCCCTGGTTGTACAAATAAGGCTGGAGTGTGGCAGGTGGCTGACCAGGTCTAACAACCTTTACTGAACCGTACGGGCTCTTCTTTTTTTTTTTTTTTTAACTTTTACAAAAACTTTATTGAGAATTTCATACATGCACACAAGGTGTTCCAATCAAATCCACACCCACTCTCTCCCCTTCAACATTCTCCCCTTTGAAGATGCAACCCCCAAATCCCTCAGGGATTAGATACAAGCTCCCAAATACCGTTGACATTTCTGGCCCCTGGAACAGAGTATGTTGCTGAGAGGCTCAAGGACAGTTTGACTTTTAGCCAAGAAACTGGCTACTTTTCTTTGGGGTCTTTTTAACCTAACTGGCTGGCCAATTCCTACCTCCTTTCTTATCATGCCATCCACTGAAGAGGTTACCCAAACTGCCAATAGGGAATAGGGACACAGACCGCTCTGGCTTCTTCCATGCTGAACAGGGACACAGGGTGAAGGGCTCTTCTTTTTTAGACGAAGGTACGCAGCACATGTTGCTGGGACGGAAAGCTTCCTTGGATGCTGCATTCATTTTCTTGAAAGAAAATAACACCCCCCCCCAGACAGAACGTGGTACCAGCCCTAAGTTACCTGTGTACATGCATACAATCCACACAGCAAAACTTCCTTATATTTAGAGAAAAGAACATGAAATATAACTATCTGTACCCATGGGGAACACCCATCCTGTACATCTCCTGAAAATGGTTAGAGTTGGGGATGGGGAGACAGACACAGGCATAAGCAGCCTCCATGAGGGCCTGAGGCTGGCATTATGCACCTGCTCTCCTGACTATAGTGTCTCTGATCTTTATTTTACTTTATTGTGCTGTATTACATAAGGCCATTTCCATGACAGTATATATCATGTTCTTTGAGTATATTCCCCTGCATGCCCCTCCCACAACAATCAGCACCTTTGTTCCCCTAGACAGTTTTGTTTCTACATCTATGTAATCTGTACATATATGATTTTGTGTAACTACAAGGTTTAAGACCCACAAGTAAGAGAAAATGTGCTGTGTCTTCCTGGGAATGACTTAATTCACCTCCAGCTGCATCCATTTCCCACAGATGGCATAGCTTGGTGTGCTGGCATTCAAGACTTTGTTCCTGGAGAGACTGCCCACGCCCTTCCTGGGGAGCTCATCCCTAGAGACAGCAGGTGACTGCCCGGCTAGCACACCTTTAATGCACAAAGCAAACAGTGTAAGGACCACACTCCTGACCACTTCCTCTGTTAAACTCTCACACAGCAAACCAATCTTCTCCTTACCCCGCATCACCCCAGAGCCAGGTTATGAGGCAACAAAGAACAGCTTGCTAGAGCCCAGAGCCTGCCAGAGTGACTCCAAGTATCCAGACCCAAGCTTATCAGGCATTCCCACCCACTCGCTCACCACTTCCCATGAAAACCCTAATACATGCTCTGGGTTGTACGCTGCCATCTACCCCACCCACTGCTTCCTGACTGGCCCTGGTGCCTTTGTACTTGGCTTTGCGTGTGGCGTGTGGTTCCTATTAGTAGGGACAGGTGAGGATAAACTTCTTCCTTCCTGTTCATCATTTGAAGGTTAAATGACGATGGTAAGTTGTTTTAGGAGAGCTAGCTAGTGTTTGTTATGTATGGTGGAAATTCAGATACAAAGATTTCCCTGCTTTTCAAAATGTAATTATCTGTGTGTGTGTGTGTGTGTGTGTGTCTGTGTGTGTCTGTGTGTGTGTGTGTCCAAGGAGCTCTGTAAAAAAGGAGTATCTAATTAATTCTAAATATAATCAAGCACACCTTGTGCCCTGATAACAGCAGGAAAATCCCAGCTGTTGTTATCTGCTTTCTCTTCATTAATTAAAATGGGAAACATTCTGAGAGCTACAGTTGGTGTGAGGTGCCTAATGACTACAGCCACAGTCAGAAGCCAGATCACACCATCTCATCTGTCCTTGGGTCTTATCCTGCAGATGATACAGAGTTGTTGAGGACGTGCACATACACCTGTGATGTGGCGGGTCTACTGCTGAGAAGATCGTTTGGGTACTAACTGGATGAATAGAGCTTATGTTAAAAGTTGGTGAATCATGTAATGATAAGACTAGGAAATACAAAGAGGCCTCTCAGAAAATCTAAAGTCATATGGACAATGTAAGTGATGGGGTCAAGAAAACCTTCGTGACTGCTGGGCATAGTGGCACACACTGGTAATCCCCAAGCTTAGAAAATTGAGACTGGAGGATCAGGAGTTCAAGGCCAGTCTTGGATACACAGTGAATTTGAGACCAGTCTGGGCTATAGGAAGACCCTAGCCTTTTTAAAAAAAGATTTTTAAAACAAATAACAAAAACTTAGAGGCTACAAGAGGAATTTAAAACTTACATATGTCAAATATGCTATAAACGAAATCAGTAAACTAATGGCATATTTGTGGGGGAAATCTTCCAATTAAAGATCTGGTGGTGTATGCCTTTAATCCCAGCACTTGGGAGGCAGACGCAGGCAGATCTCTGTGAGTTCGAGGCCAGCCTGGTCTACATAGTGAGTTCCAGGACAGCTGGAGCTACAAGGAGACCCTGTCTCAAAAAGACCAAAAGAAAACAAGATCTGTGTTAAATTCTTAATTCATGGAATTAAAGCAAATGGTAGAAAGATGGGCTAAGGCCCAGAAAAGGCAACTCAGAGATTAACTATTCTAATAACCTGTTTTTAAATGTCCAGATCTGTTTATAGGCTGGGAATACATACTCAGCCTCCATCCTGCATCACAAGCCTACGAAATCTCATCACAGCGTGCTTCTGTCTGCAAACACGAAATTTTGGGTTGCATTAGTTGTTCGCTTCACAAAGCCTTTACATCCTGGGTGAAGATTTATAAATAAGTTGTATTTAGAGTTTCTGTTTCTTAATGTAGGACTGTGGAATGCCATACTCTATCTTTGAGGTCTCACTGAAATAACCTAGTCTTGTGAGCTGTGTGTGTTGGGGGGTAATGTGTCCACGAGCACGCATACACATGTATGAGCACGTATGTACATGCAAAGGTGTTCCACTTTATCATCCCTGTCCTTATTCCCATGAGACAGGGCCTCTCACTGAACCCGGATCTAGAAAGTTCCATCAGTCCTCCTGTCTCCATCCCATACAGTGTTGGATTACAGGTATGCCCAAGGCCACTCCTGGCTTTTTACATGGGTGCTGGGGATTCTAATGCGGGTCCTCATGCCTGTGTAGCAAGCACTCTTACCCATGGAGTCATCCTCCAAGGCCCTCTTTTAAGAAAGAAACATGTCCTTAAAGGAACCTTAGGAAAGAATCAGCTACACTGCTTCGTGCTGGCATTCTCTACAGAGCGTGTGAGCTTTGGGGAACCTGCATATAAACTAGACCCTGGTTCAAAAGAAGCAGAAGAGTGAGGGAACTGACTTTGGAGGTGTCCGTGAATATACATACCAGCCTTTGCCACAGCCGGAGTTGTCTGGGCGCCCTGAATACGACCTGCAAAAAGAGAAGAGGGCTGTGAGGGCATTTTCAGACCTGTCTGAGGGTGTCAGATCCATCAAGTTCACTATGTGAGTTCCTCCGTCTTGAAAAGCGGCTTTGACTTATCAGAGTGTTTTTCCAGGCTAGGCTTACAATCCATCCTTCTTAGATCTGGTTGAGGTGAGGTCCACCACCTCACGTGAGTGCGCCTAAGTCTGTAACAGGAATGTAGATGAAATGGGAACAGGAAGATCAGCGGGATGTGTCTGTGTGTTTCATCTAAATCTGGGCTTGACATTAAGCGCCTTGCTTAATGTCCATTACAATGAATAAAGGCATTCAGCATTTTTATGATGAGCTCCTTATTCAATGCAAAACTCCAGGAAACTCAGATGCAAAACTGAAGTTACCCTGAATCATTTTCTGAATGATTTCTTGTATTTCTCATAGGCAGGAGAGCCAGTCCAGGCAAAATGGTGAGCTCCAGGTTCACTGAGAGTCTACCCTTGGTCATGACCTCTCAATCTCTCCTCCTCCTCAGCCCTGGGCAGCCACTCAACCTTGTCTGTGTGGTTTGGTCCATTCTGGTCATTTTATATAAATAGAATCATACAGGATTTAGGCTTTTGTATTTCACATTTTTCACTTTGCATTTTGTTTTCAAGGCTCACCCAAATTCCAGCAATCAGTGTTTTATTCCTTTTTATGTCTGAATAATATTCCATTGTGTGGACATACTACATTTTGTTTATCTGTTCACCAGTTGAATAATTTGAGTTGTTGCTATTTTTTGGCTAGCATGAATAATTTGAAACTTGAATGAGCATTGAATTGCCACTCATGGGCAATCCTGTGCTAGAGATGCAGTCTTATTTTTCTATGAGTAAAATTCCTAGGTCAAATGTAAACTTAACTTTTTAAGAAACTATAAAACCTTTCTAAAGTTATTATACATTTTATATTTCCATTTGTATGCATGTATTTCAGTTAAAATTTATACTTATAGACAAACCTAAGAGGGGATCAGAGGGAGAGCAAAAAGGAATGTACACGACAATTTTTAAACAACTTTCAAAAGGATTTTTGACAACTTTTAAAATAATTGTTCACGATTGGAAATAGCCTAAAATATCTTTAGAAGTATTTTCGTTAAATTTATCCTGATACATTGACTACGGAGATGGCTCAGTACTTAAGAGAATTTATTGCTCTTGCAGAGGACCCGGGTTCAGATCCCAGTGCCCAAATGGCGGTTAACTAATTCCTCTGTAACTCCAGTTCCAAGGGATCCAACACCCTCTTCTGATCTCTGTGGGCATTTCACAACACGGGTGCATTTACACACATACAGCAATACGCTCATACGCATAACATAAAAATAATAAGTAAAATATTTTTAAAACAATTGTTCATAACTAGAAATAGCTTAAATATTCTTTAAAAGTAGTTTGGTATCATGATCTACTGCAGACTGGGGAGATGGCTCAGTTGGCAAAGTGCTTGTCACAAAAGCATGAAAACTTGAGCCTGATCTTTGGAGGCCTCATAAAAAGCCAGGCATGCTATCATGTGTTTACAATCCTGTTGCAAGAGAGACAGAGACAGGAGGATTCCTGGTTTTTGAGAGCAGCCAGCATAGCCAAAGATCCCAGTGAGAGACCCTGTCTCAAAAATGAGACTGAATGGCTTCTGAGAAATGATGCCCAAGGTTGATCTCTGGCCTCTAAGTGCACACACACATACACATACACATCTATGTGTGCACACGTACCATGATGCAGTGATTAATTATAGTACAGATTTTGAAAATAATAAGGCAGACCTATATTTACTGACCAACTAATACTCACATTACTGGACTTTAATATTGTTCATTCTACCAGTTCTCCATGAGAAGGATTACCCACTGCAGACAGGGAGGGCCATAGGTTATGGATATAAGTAAAATTTGTCACCTCTGGACCAAGTATTGAATTAAATTGATCCTCCAGAGCTGCCTGATCCCTCTAGTAGAGAAATTAGCCAGGTTTGTTAGGGTCAGGAGCAGTTCCACCAAGCCCAAGTTCCCAAGTGACCACATAAGCAAATTTGCTCCATTGCCAGCCCACCATGGACAAATATACAAGCAAGAATGAAATGCCTGTTACTTAAGACATTCATATTTGGGATTCTGTATTGCCAAACACAGCCTACTTTATCCTGACCGATATATTCACACATATTAATACATTTCAAAGTATTAATTCAGGTCCCAAAACATTACATTTAACATGATCACTATTGTAAGTGATGGCTATTGCTTTTGAATGGTTGAATTATTCCCTATATGCATTTTTCTGTTTCTTCAGTTTTTGTTAAATTTGCATATATTACTTCCATAGTAGAAAAACAAAGATAATTTCATTTTTTCATTTTTAAAACTAAAAGATAGCTCAGTAGGCAAAGGCACTTGCTGCCAAGTCTGATGACCTGAGTTTGATTTCTGGGATCTACATGGTAATCACAGAGAACTGCCTTCTGAAAGTTGTCCTCTGACTACCACATGTGCACCATGGCACGCACACATGCACACACACACACACATATACACACACACACACACACACACATAAAAAAATAAAAGTTGAAAAATTAACTGAGGTCTTGGGGCTCCAGGCACCTGGGGAACCAATATTGCTTCGTGGTCCTCTTCATCCAGACCAACTCAGTGCCTTCTCTGGTCCCCAGGAACACTGCTTCTGGTCCTGGCCCCACCCTCACCTCCCTCTGCTTCCCTGGGCTGCACAACCAGCCAGCCTCTTTCCTGGACACAGGGGCTGACCTTTCCTCTTCTTGATCCTTTGCATCCAAACCAACCCAGTTCCTCAGTGCAGTCCCCAGGAGCCCTTGGGGCCTCTTCCCGCCCCCATCTCCCTTTGCATGTCTGGGTAGCACAGCCACCAGCTGCCGTAGACCAGCATCTTTCCTGGGCCCTGCTCCAAGGCCATTCCAATGCCCAAATTCCTGAAGCCAAAATCTTTCCTGGAGGGATCCAGACCTTAGGAGAAAACCTGAGAGCATCTGATCCTCATCTGAATTGGGCCTCTGTGGGAACTCCTAAAGACAAAAGCAACATGGCCACTCCAATATAAAATCAAAAGAGAGAACTGGAACCTTAGAGGAACCAGTTTTTCATGCCCAAAAAGTAAACCACAAAGACACATAAAGTTTGCAAAAAGAAGCAGACCTAAACTTGAAGGCTTAAGTCTCACACAAGAAACAGAAACTACAAAAGGAATTCACATGTCAAAATCACAGAGAAAAAATAATAACATGAAAAACCAAACTAACATATCCCTATCAAATACCAATAGTTCTCTAGAGGAGTAT